CATATCAAGAAACAAAGAACTGAAACCCCAAACTTTCTTCAAAACAAATGCACTACCATTTCTTGAGCCAAGACTCATAGCGTTGTAACTAGTATCTAAAAACCTATCTAAATAGTAAAATACCACTCCCATAACGAGTCTCCGATTGGTTTAAAGAAATCAAAATTGGTACAATATAGATAGAGGTCAGCGTTTTGAAGGATATCTTTCTAAATTTTTTTAGGCATTTATTTAAAACTCACGTTATAATTAATATTTTTAAAATTCAATTGTTGAATTAAATATTTTATTTATATAGATCATATATGTTAATTTTTAAATTAATTAAATATTTATAATTTTTTATTAATGAAATTCTATTTATTAATATATATTTAATGATATTAAATTTTATGTGATTAATAAACTGGTTAAGTTTGCAAGATCAATATAAAAATTAAAATACATCATTTACAACTAATAAAAAAAATACACATGAAAAATATGATATTTTAGAGATATCCTCCATGAAGACATCATGCGAAGCACTTTTGCCATATATATAAATGTGAACAATTAGATACCCCTGCAATCAACGAGAATTTGAACAAATTAATACTGTTAAGTGGGAAAATGGAAAATAATAAAGTAGTATACAAGTTAAATAAAAATGTTACTCTGCTTATTATTAATTAATTTTTAGGTTAGATTTAAATTTTGTATTAAAATTCATATATTCAATTTTTGCAAGTACATTTTAATTTAAAAAGATAACTTAGTCGACGTAATACTTATTAATTCAAAAACTTTAATTTAGAATTAAAATCAGATTCAAACCCATAATGCAAAGCAAATAAATCCCTATGTACCAAAACAGAGTAACCTTAATATAAGGAATAATATGAATAAGGTTAAAAATGTGTCAAGTTGAGTTGAATTCCTTAGAACTTGAATTCAATCTCAATACTACAGTATCAAGTCGAGTTATGTTTGTGTTTTTATTAAATTCAAATATAGTGAGCTCGAACTTCACTCATGAATTCAAATTTGATTCAAAAACTCAATTGATTACTTGTGTTTAATTTAAAATTCAAATTAAAATAAAATGAAAATTTTAAATATTTTAAAATACAATTATTTTCTTAATACAATTTTGTTAAATTGAGTTAACTCAAGTCAATTTGATTTTTTAAGCTCAAATTTGAGCTCAATTTTTACTCAAACTTGAGTTAAGTGGAACATAATTTTAATTTGAGTGAGCAACTAACTAGTAACTCAATTCATTTACAACTCATTAACGGCTTTAAATATCAAATATATATGAAAAGGAAAGATGAGACCGAGGATCCATTAGTTCGAATGACTTTCTTGGCCACAAGATCACGGTATAATACAGTACATAATAATATCAATTACACAGTGTTTCATAAGATTGTCTGCCCCAATATTATTACAGTATATTGCAGCCTCTTCTGGCTGATGAATACCAAGTTCAAGTAAAAGATTTCGATCCCTGGAATGTTCTGAAGCGGCAGCAGCCAAAAATGTTACTCAGCCTCTGTTGATGAGCAGGCAATGGATTTTTATTTGCAGGTGCATGCGCCGTGAAATTGGATTAGAGCTAAGATAAACCACATATCCAGTTGTAGATTGTCAGAATTTAGAAACAGAAATAAGATTGCAAGAAACATTCATAACACAAAGAATGTTAGATAATTTTTGTTGTCCCACATTACCGGCCCACTGGCTTGGAGAGGGTAAGTTCTATGGTGTGTTTGGTTAGGGGGCTAATTTTATTGGAAAACTTTTTACTGAAAAAATAATTATAAAGGTATTGAATAGAAACAAACAGTTGATAAGTTTCAACGTAAATTTTGTTAGAATTTTGTTGAATTGTTAATTTCTTTGTATTTGATAAGAAACTAGTATAGAAAAAGTTGGTAAAAAAATTGTTGAATGGGTATTATATAGGAAAAGGTTAGGAGAAAACACTTCCTTTTCATAAAGTATGGAAAGAAAAATTACTTATGGAGAATTATGTTAGGAAAAATAAAAATTAAAAATATTACTTTTACTCTCCTTTTGTTGTAATATTAATATGTAAAAATACATAAATAATATTATAATGAAAAAACTTTAGAAAAATTTAAGGAAGAAAGTGACTTAACAACCAAACAAACTCTTAATGTTGAAACTTTTTCAGTTCTTAATAGATGCACTAGAGCCAACGACCTAAATAGTTCAGTAGTCATCTCATTCCATTAGAAGTAAAAGGTTTTGAATTCAAGTTGCATGACATGCGAGTAGAGTAGAATAAAAGATTAAAAATGATTGTCTCTTATTGTGCAATCAAAATAAAAAATAAAAAAAAATGCGATAGAAGGGTAATAAAACAATTGAAGACAATATGCTTCCTGGAGACTATAAGGGTTTGCGTATTTGAGACTCGTTATGGGCTATGTCATCATTCACTGAGGTCGGTCCAACAACTCTCTTTCCAAAGGAGGTGCACAAACAACTATGCCAAGGGTTCTTCAGATAGGGATTGTTTGGTCGGTTTAGCTTCTGCAATAGAAAGTTCTGGATACTTGGCTAAACTCATAGTTTACACCATTCTAGCTCTCCCCTCACCTCCTCTTTTAGGATATGTTTAGATTAGATAAAAATTAGCAAAAAGAGGAGAAAGAAAGGGAAGGAAAGAAAGGGGTTAACAGTAATTTTTTTTACATAGTTTAAAATAAAAGAATGAGAGGAGAGGAAAAGATTATAATTTTTTATTTAATTAAATAAATTAAGAAGCTAGTACATCTTAATCTCCACTCTAAAAAAAAAAAATTTCAACCTAAATTTAAAAATTGAAATCCCAATTCAAAACTCAAAAATTTAATTAGTTTTTAAATATAAATATTAATATTTAATAAGATAAATTTTTAAATTTTAATTAAATAAAACAACATAATTTAAAATTAAAACTTTAATTTTTTTTGAAAATGAAAATTGATATATATTTTTTTTATAAACTAGAGAGAATTTATTATAAAATTAATTAAAATTTTATTTATTGAAATAAAAATAAAAATAAATCAAATCCCTCTAAATTCTCCTAAATTAAAGAGAGGGATTGGAAATAAAGAATTTAGAGGAGTTTTGTCTCCCACCAGATACCTCTCCTTCCTTCCGTCTCCATTAATAAGTTTATCTAAAACAAAGAGAAGGGGAGATGTTCCCCCTCATTCTTCTCCCTTCCTCTCCAACTCCCTCAATTGAGACTCAGTCTGAAATCAAACAACTCTAAAAGTGCATATTTATCACCTAACCGGAAAGCTAACATAGATCATTAACCATTCAAGCAAATTAAGAGAGGCAAAACTAAAGGTCTGCAATTACATACGCCAATCACAAATATTCAAAGATATCTGCCACAAGGCTCAATCACACAGAGAATGAAAACTTTAATAAAGGTAGGATCCATCAGTTTTTTTTATTATTATTATTATTTTGATTGCACATATATCAATCTCTTGTTTTTTATCACACTCCATCTGTATGTCATAAAACTTAAACTCAAAATTTTTTACTTTCGACGAAAAAAGAGAACCACTAAATTATTTAAATCGTCGACAGATTCACAAAAATTTAAGTGTTATTTTATATATTAGATCTAAAATTTAATTCTTAAATCTAATAATCAATTAAATTAATATTCTTAAATGCACCAAATACATAAAGAGTGGGCTACAAAGATTGTCCGAGAAAGCTTAGTCTCAAATTACGCAAATATTGATCCAAAAACAACTTGACTGTCTAAATCAAAATATATATAAAATATAAAGAGAAAGAGAGTGATTGAAGGAGAGTGCTAAAAAGAGTGTTCTTCACGATTCTCTATCTTCAATACATAATTCTTTAACAATATTCAAGGATAAACTTTGCCAATAACATGCCTGTGTACAACTCACAATCATTTTAGAGCAGCGAAAAATGCTGTAAAGGCAAAAGAGATTCTGGCAATTTTTAACAAACAAAAAGCTGAACTTTAACAAGAGAATCAGTACAGTGCTCAAGGCAAGAATATATTTTCTCTGATGTACCAGGGCTAATAACCTTGATTATCTTTAAATTGCTGAAAAGAAATAGATGCTTTATACGGCATGCCGGGACAAGAAAACATGTTACTTCCCATGATGGATCAAGCAACGAAATAATAATCTTATGTATGACAAGGTAAAAAAGATCTGCATACATCACACTGATATTAAATCATTTGAATATGTGATATGTCCTATGTGAAACATCAGTTAATTTTTGTTCAAAAGTAACACTAGATAAATATCCTTGCAATAGAAAGAGGCAGTAAGAAGAACACTAAAACTGAAAAGAATAAAAACATAAAAACATATGCTGAAACGCTGAGATTAGCATCAGCAAATCTAGCATGAAGATAGAAGCCACAAGAAGAAAATTAACAGAATATCAAACAATTAATCTAACTATATACTTCAGTTAGGTCAATAGGACAAAGTAATATGGGATTTTTCAAGTTTCAACTGTTACAATCTTCTCCAAAAGAGCATTAATCAAGTTAAAGCACAAGCACACATCCATATTTATCCTTTTACAACTTTAGGCTATTGCTTTCAGACACATACGCTACATGTACAACACAAACAGATCATGAACTGAAAATTTTACGATGAGAATTCCCCATATGGTGCATAATGTGATCCTTTCTAAGGTTTCCAAGAACTAGAAATATCATCCCCCTAACAGGAACTTCAATATACTGTTAAGCGTCATGAAATGAACCATCTAAGCATCATCAGTTAACTTGCATAGTATATCAAAGAATTTCAGTTATATAATGGAAACCCAAATGACATTAGATATAATTTTACACCATTTCAAGATTGTCTGCAGTGTCCAATTCCAATTGAGTGAGATATCAAACATCAGGATTCTTCCATGCTCTATGAAAAATGGAATTAAATGGAGTAATCGGGAGCAATTCTAACATTTGGCAAAAAGAAAAACAGCAATTATTACATAAGAGCAATGTAGCCTGAGAATGCAGAATTAAAAATTCAGTACAAACAATGAAGAATTGTATAAACAATGGCAAAAAAAAAAAAAAAATTATAATCTGAATCAGCATTAACAATGAAGAATTCCATGACTGTACACAAGAAATTGCTGGAATATGTTTCCCATCAATTGTAATGATAAATGTTATCAGTACATTAGCCAACATCAAAGAAAACAACCTCCAGAACTTATTTCCTCCTTTAAAGACAACGCAAAGAAAATTAAAGGATCAAGAAACCCATGTGACTAGTTCTGTGTTCTAAAAGAAGCTTCAACAAACTCTAATGGCAACCTACCATGTGTTGGTACTTCAAATTATTAAACCTATTCCTGTGCTACATGACACCAACCTCTGAAAGTTCTTTAGGTGGGGAAGAGACAAATTTCAAGTGAAGATAATTTGAATGTAAAAGTTTGAAAAAAGAAAGAAAACTCAAGACCTTTCAATAAAACATTCTGTTGAATCTTGAGTAAAATCTGAAACTCTTCATCATCCTCCCCAATCCAAAAGGGAAAAGATCTGAAAAAGAAGACGAAATTACCCATTAGCATGAATCCTTAGTTGAAGGAGGAAACAATCTTGTATATCCCAATGGTGGAAATTACCATTCCACAGCACATGGCGCCACCAAAATCCATCTCCATCAGCATCCCATCACAGCACAATTATACACAAAATTACCCGATTCCTTTCTATCTAGCAAAATCCATTGGGGAGGGCCTTCACGAGGAACCCAAGAATTGAGTTCTATAAAACCTCCACCCGTTGTTCTAGGTCCACCAATCACAATCAGTCGATCTCCACATGCCCTGAAAGCAAGACCCCAACCATTCATCGAAGCTGCTCTTTCAGGTAAACTTCCCACTGTAAACCAAGATCTGTTCTCCTTGTCATACTTCTTGACCTCCATGCCGGCATAATCAGCTGCATAGAGTTCATCATTCACTACCGCAACCAAAGGTGGTGCTCCGGCTGCCGAAGGCATGTCACCCTCCCTAGCTTCACCAGGAGACATATTAGGTATTTCAGTCCACGTTTTCCTCTCTAAATCATACTCCTCGCCACAAGTGAGAACCCTTGAATCACTCCCTCCAATGCCCCCAATGACATAGAACTTTCCGTCCATGAACACCCCAGAACACATCTTCCTTGGTTTTTTCATAGGAGGGAGAGTCTCCCATTCTTGAGTCTCGGAATTGTACATTTCTGCACAGCTCAGGACATTTCCCTGAGAATCAGAACCACCTGCTAGAATTGCAATTTCACCAAGACTAGCAGACCCAAACAAACACCTCGGAACATTCATCCTCGGCCCTGTAGACCAGGAATTAGTCAGTAAACTGTACCTATATATGACCTGGGCTATCCCGAAAACAAGCAACTCCGTGCCCACAGCCAGGGATTCCTTATCTGCAAAAGTGAAGCAGTCATTATGAGGCATCTGGGGCAGACGCATCCACCGATGGCCAATTGGATCAAACGCCTCCCACTGAAGGAGGTTACAAGAAAAATAGACCCAGTGCTCAATCACACCATTCTTCCTCCGAAGCTTATAGATATCTCCGCTCCTAATTAAGTTGCGAAAACTCCGATTTAGAGATGCAATGGAACCATAATCAGACCTGGAGCACCTAAGAAGACAAGTGATGGAGTTGTCTCGGCCAATGGGTTGGATAAGAGAATCCAAATCTGAGGCGGAATCACCACCTTGACGCTGGCTGTCGCCACCATCCAATGGTTTATTGGGCTCCCGGGGAGAATCCGGGATCTGATTATCATCAACACCAGAAACATAGCTCGGCTGCTCATGGGATTCTGGCAGTGACCCATCAGAACCCAAAAGCTCATTACCATCATCTTGATATTGTTCACGGCGTTCCATCAAGTTTTCAACAGAATCCAGAAGCTCCGAGTACTTACTTTGGAAAGAGTTATCTGATTCACTCTCAATTACCTCGGAATGCTCACTGGAATCCTGCGGAAAATGAGGGAGCCCATCATCCCCACGTTCCGCATCTGATTGCTCAACGGAATCCGCGGAGCCCCCGTCGGAATCCATGAGCTGCTTATCATCGCCAAAAGCTTGCTCAACCGAATCCTGCGGGCTTTCGCTGGAATCCGCCAGCTTGGGTGCTTTGGTTTGTCGACAATCATGGGATTCATCTAATTCCAGCGGGCGCTTGGTATTCGGAATGAAACTCCTCATGAACGACGACCACTGGGTTTCCGGCTGGCAAGACCTCGCGAAGGCTCTAGAAACCAAACAGGACTCACCGGACCGGTTCTCCAACATGACGATGGCGAACTCAACGAGACACGATTTTCGGACACCCAATTTGATCCAGATGCGTTAAACAAAAATCCAGGTGCTGCAAAATACGGTCCAGATACAGAAGTCAACCTATTCACAGGAAAAATAAATGTCAGATTTAATTACATATTTCTAATTAAAGAGAGAAAAAAAAAAAAGAAAAACTGAAAGGAATCTATACCGATTTTAATTGTTTAAAAAAAAACGTAAAAATAGTCAAATAAATGAATAAACTATAAACGCCGGCGAAAACTAACGCCGGCCGATCTGAAACAGAGAAAAAAAAAATGATGATCCAACTAGAGCTTTTCTAATAAATCAGAGTCAATTATCGATTTTCTTAATGCTTCAAAAACATCATAAACAAACCTAAAAACTTGAGATGAACTGACTCGAAAGGTGAAGTCAAAAACAAAAACACCAGATCTCGGAATTGAGATTCGAGACGAAGAAGAAATCAGAGTTAGATCTGATTACAGGGATAGATTAACTGGCAGAAAAGGAAAGAAGTGAAAGGGAAAGAGAGGGAAAATAATAAGGCGGGAGGGGACTTACTGATTGGATAAGAGGAAATTGATGGGATTTTTCTCCTTTTTTTTTCTTTTTTCTTTTTTTTGAGCAGGAAATTGAAAAAAAAAAATTTAAAGAAAAAATAAAAACTCTTTCGTATGCTGTTGCTGTTTCTGTTCTTCGCGTTCTTGTGTTGCGAGTAATTTCTATAGGCTGGATGTTTTTTCCTTTGGATTCTCTCTGCAAATCAGAGGGGAGGTGAGGGAGGTTTGGGCGAGCAGAGTATTTCAGAGCTTCAGCTTCCCTTTTATCTCTCTTAAAGCTCTATCTCTCTACCCCCCCTCTCCCTCCCTTTCTCTCTCTACTTTTCTTTTTTTAAGATTTTTTTAATGGTTTTTTTGAGTAAAATAAAATGATGATGAAGATTATTCCACTAATATAAGAAATGAATTTATTTTAGCTCTCGGATTTTAGTGCGCACAACACACAAAAATACAGTTCAGACGTAAAATTTTGCTACAGTAAGAGGTTTTTTTTTTGTTTTTTTTCCCTTACTCAATTTTGATTTTAACCATTTCTAAAATTTTTACCGAAATTTAAATTCTTATAAAATAAAGTAGAGTTTTTTTTAAAATAAAAATCATCTTCTATTACATAAATTATTATTTAATATTAAAAAAATTTCAATAAAGCTTTTATGGGTAAATATCTTGGTATCTTTAATATTCTTTTTATTTCTGTTTATTTTATTTTTATAATAGGAGTAAAGTTGTAATTAAAACTTTTTTTTAAAGTTCTTTTTGCGTTTTTTTAATTTTATTTTTTACTCAGATAAATAAATTATTGGTATAATTAAAACATTTAATGTCATATAAATATAAAAAATAGCACAACTAAATAAAATCAATAATTGGTATTAACGTACTAATTGAGAAAACTAGTATTACATTAGTTCATTTCACTTGCCATAAGAAGGATTTGGTGCAATTAAGTTATTGATTTCTATTTTAAAGACAGTATTTTAAACATGGTATTAAAGTTTTATTTTTCAAATTTTGTCATAGGTTCTTAAAAACAAGACGTTTTAAACTTGTCATCTTCTATCATTAATAGAGATAAATATACCAACATGGTCATGTGGGCCAAGTAATTTTAGCCACTCTTGTAAGGTTATTAGAAACAAGACATTTTAAACTTGTCATCTTCTATTATTAATAGAGATAAATATAAGCACCTGGCCCTTGAGGCCTAGTGGCAATAGTCATCCCGGTGCATTCCTCCCTTATCGGGCTGGGTTTGAAACCCACCCCTTGTAAATATGTTCAAAAAAAAAAAATAGAGATAAATATAAGAACATGGCCCTGTGGGGTCAAGTAATTTAGTCACTCTTGTAAAATTCATATTCTCTTTTCAAAGACAACAGTTCGAACTGATCCCATGATTATATGTTCAAAAAAAAATAGAGATAAATATAAAATTTTAATTAATAATAAATGTGTTTTACAAATTTTTATAATTTTTCATACTCTTATTAAATAAAAGTGTAACGACTAAAATTAAATAAAGGTAATAAGTAAAAAATAAGGTATAATAATAGGGTTTTTTTTAATAAGTTCTATATAAATTAAAAATATAATAAATATATTTTTTGTCATAAATTTATGTAAAAAAAAGTGACTTTTAACTTATCAACTATCCCGTTAAATTCATTTACATAATAACAGTACTAAAGTTAATGTTAACCTTTACATATTTTTATACAAATTTATAATTAAAAAAATATACCCTTTACTCTTATAAATTTTAGCCATATTATCTTTCCTAAGTGTAATCGCAATTAAACAAATATAAAAAACCTTGTGCCTCTTTGTTTTATCCTAAATAAGGATAGAATTGAAATAACAGTATTTAATATTTTTCAAAATAAAAAGTAATGTAATTTAAATCACCTCTATTTAGTTTGGAAAACAACTAAATAAAAATAAATTGGAAGTAAATGATGTAGTTTGCGTGAAAAACAGAGAATGATTTATTAATATTACTTTTTTTATTTAAAATTTGTCTTAACTTATTTATCTTTTTTAAATTTTAAAAGAAATAATTTTTTTTTCATACTCTAATCCTATATATTTATCGTTTAATTTTAATTGTCCACCCTATTAGTACAAAAATTTTTTTATTTTTTTTAAATAATATAAATAAATATTATCTCTAAAGTTTTAATTAATAAAAAAATTTAAAAAATATTATTTTGAATTGTAAAAAACTCTTATAACATGATTAGTAACAGTATACCTTTGATTAACTTTTTTTCAATTGAGATAAGACGGCTGACCACATTTCATTTATTAATGTGATATAAAAATTAATTTTCTTTTTATTCAATTTTAAGGATACCATATTTCTTTGTCTAATAAAATAAAAATATAATATATACTTATAAAATTTTACATTTTTAAATAATTACTATTTAAATAAAATTTTTATTTAATATATGTTATTATTAATTTTCAAAATAAAAATAAACACTTAAAATAATATTAAAAATAAATAATTAAATTTAAATACTTCAAATTAAAAGTTAATCTCGTTAAAATTAAATGGATGGAGTATTATAAAATTTACAATACAATTTTCATTTAAAAAAAAAAAAACAAAGCAGATAAAAAGAGATTGGTAAGAGTAGTTTAGTGATTCTAATTTACATACTTTTTTTTTTTTAAAGGGTTAAATCACCCCCTGGCGGTGGTGGTGGAGGAACATTTCCATTTTTTATTTGATGAAAAAAAAATTGTGGGGGAGGTGGTGGTGGAGCTGACGGAAGGGAGAGGGGAGAGGAGGGAAGGTGGTGGGGCCCATGGTGAGTGAGCAACCGGAAAGCGGTAAGCGCCAGTATAGACACGTGTTGACTAATGACAGAAATGAAAACCGTCCTCCTTTTGCCTTTTGTTTTCTGTTTGTTTTTTTTTTCCTTTTTTAGAATAACCCCTTCAATTTAATTATTTTCTTTAATTTCTCCCTCAATACTTATTTTAGGTTAATTTAGCCCTTATGTTAGGGTTACAACTTATGCTTGTCAATGTTTAACACCAAATGTAACCTCAAGAATAATTAAATCTACTGATATGTAAGTATTGCCTTAAACTTTAGGTACATGATTCAAATCTTAGAGTTAACACATAAAAAAATTAATTTTTTTGAATGTGTCTAATTTTTATGGAGGTTACGTTCTTAAAATTATTTAGAAATATACAAAGGCTAGCTTGGGAATAGTGTGACTATCCAAAGTATAATAATAATAATGAAAAAAAAGAACAATGTCTAATGCTAATTGTCATGTGACTTTGATGTCTTAACGGCTACCATATGTATAATTAGTTTCATTATCTTGCATAAAAATTAATGTAGAAGATTTAAGTGGGAAAATTTTTCCTTTTTATAGGGCGTGTTTGATTTGCTTGAGAGTTAGAAAGTATTTTTTTGGAATATCACGTTGAAAAATGTGTTGATCACAAATTTTTTATAATAAAATTTACAATTATCACTTGTTATCAAATGATTAAATATATATCATTAATGTATTGCATTAAGTGAAAAAAGACAATCATAATTATTGAACTTGTAATTATAAAATTTTCTTACAAGAAAATATTATCTATGAATCTTTTTCTTTTTTCTTTCTTCTTTTGCTTTTTATATAAAGGTCACACTTTATTTTTTACATAAAATAAGTAAGTTGACTTGAAATATTAATGGAAACATCACAGTTACAAGCTTACATGAAATATCAAATTATTTAATGAATAATGACATGTGCTTTTATTTTATCTTAAGTAAAAATTAATGTAACAAATTGAGCAAGGAATTTTTTTATTTTAATTTTATAACAAAATTGGTTAGACAAAGCATTAATGATAAAAACAGCAAGATTACCTCTTTTGCCGCTAACTCTTGCCTTAACAAGGCATGATGCATGGTACAAATAAATTCGTGGGCTAAATTAGAAACAAAATCTAAAGTAAGGGTCTAAATGGGGGGATGTTAGTATATTACTTTTCCTTTTAAATAAATCATCCTTCTCTGTTTCGATATTTTTTTTTTACTAATTTTTTGATATTCGATAATTATATTGGATTTTAATTAATGTAGAATCGAGTTGCGTTGGACTTCATTTGAGGGAACGCTCTCCCAATACCCATTTTTCTATTTAAAAGACTCAAACTCCCCTACTTAAAAGAACTCGAACTCCCTTTACTCGAAACCGAATTTCCTTCACTCAAAACAATAAAATCGTTACTTTCCTGTTTCATTGTTAATCGGGGTGGGATTTTTTCCTAAATTTGATTTTTTTTAATTTGATGAACTTCTCAAATCCAATTATTATTATTATTTTTTTAAGAGATTCCTAAATCCAATTATGGACCATAACTAGAGAACAATAAGCTTTTTAAAAAAAAATTTTAATCGACCTCAAATTTTAAACTCGAAACTTTTAAATAGAGATTAAGAATTTGAAATACTCCATGTTATGAATAATTGGAATAGAATATGAAGAGCTGAACATCTGTAACCATCCAATTTCAGGTTTACAATTCCATGTGAGGCAGCGCCAGTGACTTAAGTTGCAAACGATGCCGTCGTTATGAGGAAAAATCAAGGCAGTGTGATATGTGGGAATCCAAAATTGACGGGTCAAAATGACTGACTGGTCAAATTGATGGGTCAAATTCGGATTATCCAGAGTCATTATAAGCATGTTAGTAATCATAATTGGACGAGACACCTGCTAATTTGACTTAGTCAAGATAATAATACATGGTAACATGGGTCATGACTCGTGAGATGTTTAATTTTTTTATTTGAATTTTTTAAGTTAA